CTGCAGAGGTGCAACAGGAGAGATCCTGGTCTGAACCAGCAAACAGGGACGAGAGTCCAGAGATTAAAGTCCATCTTGTAAAAACAAAATGTACGGCTTTATCTTTTCCTCCAATTAGTGTCTAGAACTTGGTCAAATGCCTCGTTAAAGATAAACCTTGAAGGCCATGTGGTGGCTCAAATAAGATAAGATAACATTACATTTAATTTAATCACACAGCGGGGAAATGTGCAGCAAAGTGGAGAGTCCAACAAGAGACATCAGTAGGGAACAAAACACGTACAATGAATAATCAAACCCTAAAGGTAAAAGTAAAAAAATACAATTTAATCAGATCGAGCTGTTGGATACACATTATTGCACATATCTAGAGTATTTATATTGCTTATATACAATAAATATATATAACTATACTGGTTATATAGCCTTACATGAATAAATTGACTATTTTAATGACATCAAGAAAAATAAGAACCTTATTGTTTAGCTTCTCAAATGTGAGGATCTGTTGATTTAGTTTGTCTTCTATGATTTAGACTAAATAAGATCATTAACTCGTTAATATTTATAAATATATTTATATACTTACGGATCAACATATTGATCAATGACTACGTGACTTAAGAGTCAGCAACAACAGATACAAACTACTCAAACACACAACAATAAAAGAAGAATACTCATGATGGCGATGGGGGAAAAGGAGGCGTGGCCTTCCGCCTCTCGCTACTTTTACTATGTTTACGTCACGTAAACAAGTCAGCACGAGCTAACAACAGACAACAGAGGCTCACAGTCAACGTGCTCACAACGAGCAGAGAGGCCGTGTGTGTTGAAGACATGGAGGGTAACAGTCTGGTGTAAAGAACACGCTGAACGGACGAATGTCTGCAACAACAATCACAGTTTGGCGAACACTAGCTTTAACAAGCTGGCCTGTCAAGTCTCCCGCGAGGAGATGAGAAGCACATCCGATTTGAACTGTCAAAATAAAAGAGCGGGGGAACTCCACAATAACTAAAATATAACTAAAAATATTATATATATACAGACAGAATAGTTGTATTCGCCATAAATTTGAGCGGTATCCAAAATGTTTAATTCGACTTAAAATTTGCTGCTACCACCAACTCTCTGACTGGTTTTGTTCTAATTATTCGGGGGTGATATTAAAGTATATACTCTCCATTTTAGTGACACGTAAATGTACACCGTGCAACACAACAATTATTCTGTCTGTATATATCATATTTGAGTTATTGTGTATTTTTTTACTTTTTTACTTATTTAATATTATTTACTTTTTCATTATTATTGTTATTACCATTATTACTGTTTTATTATTATTACTTATTTTATATTCTTTACTGCTTTATTATTATTATTATTATTACTGTTTTATTATTATTACTTATATTATATTCTTTACTGTTTTATTATTATTAGTTTTATTATTATTACTTATTTATAATACTTGTTTTGATATTGTATATTTATATATTGCATATTATACTGTAATCCTGTAAATAAATTATTATCTTATTTTTATCTTATGTAACCACTACTATATAAACAACAAATAATGTCAATAAATAAAGTGAAAAAGAATATTCAATAAAATCTCCCCTTTTATTTTGAAGCCGAATTAGCCACATCTCCGGTTTGACCGCGGATAACCCTGGAAACGTCGACGCAGCTGCTAAAAAAACAACCGTTAGCTACCAAGCTAGCACTAGCCGACACAACAACAGGAGCACTAACAGTTGGTTCCCTTTTCCTTTCATCGGTACTTGTACAACTAGGTAGCCGTATTACACGTCCACGGTAACGGTTATCTAACGAAGGGAGGGCTTTACCTTCTGGAGATGAAGCCCGTGATGTCGACAGGGCCTCTGGATGCGAACAGCTCAGCTGACACTCACTCACATACACACACACACACACACACACACATTCACACACAAAAAGCAGCGATGTGCGGTTTGCGCCCCTGCCGCTTTCTGCTCCGATCACTCACATTCCTCGCGCTTCTCAGGCAGTTTGTCCGCCTGCGAAAGCCGCCCAAACATCACAACAGGTGGAAGTTCAACGTTTTTGCTTTTTTTTTCCCGAGGTGCTTTGTTTTTCATTCCTTTGTGCTTCCCCCCGCTGTCCCCCTTCTTTTTTTCTTTTTTCTTTTTCCTGCGCTGTATTTGTATCTCCCACAATGCAACGCGCATCTCTCTCACGGTGCTGTACAGTAAGAAACAGGAAGTGTCACATTCAGCAACATGTAACGAGCACTTCTCAGGAGTTCCCGCTGTTTGTATTCATTCACATTAATCTGATCATAACATTTAAACATCTTTCTTTTCTTCATATTAACATTTGAAGAATTCTCAGACACTTTAGATTTTTTGTTCTTGTATTTAATCTTTGTTTCTATTTTAGTTGATTTTTTAACTTTATTTATTTACCTTACTCTTGTTACTATTGTGCTCTATTTTACGATGGTGTCAGTATTATCTCTTTACACTTGATGATTGTTATTGTATTGTTATATGTGTTTATAGTTTTATTTTATTGTTTTTTCTTCTTCTGTTGTAATCTTAGTGAAATTCTGGCACAAGAACTTCCTTCGGGATGAATAAAGTTGTATCTTATCTCTTATTATCATATACACTAACATATTCTGTATGTTGGAAAATATAAATTACACCTACCTGACTTCTTTGATACACTTGAACATGGAATTTGTTTTTCAAATTTTCTTTTAACTTATTGTGTATTGTGTTGACCTTTATCTTGTGTAATATTTATTTTCTTGTTTCTCATTTATTCTGTTTATTCATTTGAAGATTTCATGTATTGTTTCCAACCTTTAAGGCAAAGACCAGTTCTGGTGCTTTATAGTATTTCCTAATAAAATGTGATCAAATCTTGACGTTTGTTTTTTACTTCTTAGTTTAATAATACTCACATCTTGAACATCTTGTCATACAACCATTGTCTTTTACCTCGTCTGCTTCCTGAACAGATCCGTGTCCTATTTTAGTTCCTGTTCTAAAATATTCTTTAATGTCAGACATCGAATGCCTTTCTCCATCTTCATTAAACTTGATAGACCGTGAAAACACTCGGGACAGCGATATGAATTGATTTCTGTCCCAGATAAAGTCTCTTATAAAGTATTTTATGTATGTATTTGAATGTTGTCAGTAATACTTGGCTGTCTTTATTTCAACTGTCTGAGCAGAGAAGTTATTCCAAAGTGGGAGGATTTCACTGAACATCTTCAGGGCTTTCAGTTTGTCAAACCAGCTATAAAAATCTGCCTCGCCCTACTTTTAAAAGCTGCCGACCCGCCTCCAAGAATTCCATCAGTCTGGCCCACGATGACCTAGAAATGGTGCTCTGGAAAACATTGAAGACTTAACATTTGTTTTGAATTAGTGGGTCAGTATGTAAGTACTTACCAGTCTGGACAGAAGGATCCTCGAGTAATGAAGCCGTCGTACACAATACACAAAATGAAATGTGTTGCACAAACTTAGCAGGAAAGGAGACTCATATGTTGACATAAATGTGTTTATTTGACCATTTTTATAGGCAAAAATCACAAAGACAGCAGCATCTGCCATGTTAATTACAATATTACAAAAATAAATAGCTTAAAAAGGAAGCTGTAATAATAAAAATAGCATGGTCCTTCACTGAAGGGATATAGGTCTAATGCTCCATCTCGTTTGTTTTATGACATAATGTAAATTAACAACAGGAATGAAGAAATCAAATATACATACAAGAGTCTGAAAACAACTGTGAGCGTTCTGCATATGATGCATTAACAAATATTATATAACAAATATAATGTTATTTTTTATATATACACGATAGATAGTATGCTTATCACTTAACTTACAAAAAACACCTCCAAAGAAATGTGTGGCATTATAACTGCATTATAACTGCATTACAACTGCATTACAACTGCATTATAATGCGCCTGAAAAGCTCTACAATGAAACTGCAGGGCAGAGGGAAAGTCATTATCGAGCCTACTTTATTTGACACATTGTTTAAACTCAAATTCTGTCAATTTCTATAAATTATACACGTCTAGTTCGGCATTGACACGATCTGTTGTGACAGAAGCTTAAATATTGTCAGATTTAGTTTCACTGAATGGTTTTCCTACAGTTCAACAATGCTAATTTTCAAGACAATCGTTTGAAGAACGTCGGTACGTGTGTAGAAATGAGAAGCAATCAAACAGGAGTGCATTACCCAGAGGCTTAAAGTTCCAATGCATCAATCGTATGTTCTTACCTCAATAACAGGTAAATGGCTCGATCAAAGCTCTATAGGGGCTTGAGTTCGGTTGAGGACAGTTGGAGGTATATTTACACTGTGCTGGTCTTCGACAGCAGGTTTCATGCCATTAATCTAGCCCCACCTTAAATGATAGCTCACTCAGAAAGACGTACTGCAGATTATACAAGACTTCATCCAAACAGATCAAGTTTCTGTTTAAAGTGGGACTAGAAAACGCACACGCAGCACCTTCATCTAGCATCTATACATAGCATCACATGTACATCCTGAGGTAGATCTCCATGGTTTCAAATAGTGGTTGTCAAATGTCAATAAAAGATGACAAAACAATATTCAGGCAAATGCTCCTGATGTGACTTGATGCGATCAGCTGGTAACTCGGACAGATTATGAGCCAATGGGCCCAAAGGCACAGGCATGTAAACCCCCCTCTGTGTAGTCATTCGTGTCTCTCTGTGGTCATTTATGGTCGTTTTGTGTATATTTGTGGTTGTTTATTGTCTCTTTGCAGTTGTTATCTGTCTTTTTGTGGTTATGTGTCCCTTTGTAGTCGTTCTTTGTCTCTTTGTAGTCGTTCTTTGTGTCTTTGTGGTTATTTTGTGTGCCTGTGTCGTTGTTTTGTGTCTCTTTGCTGTAGTGTTGTGTCTTTTTGTGGTTGTTTTGTATCTTTTTGATGATTTTGTGTCTTTGTGGTAGTTTTTTGTCTCTTTGTGGTTGTTTTGTGTCTCTGCCGCCGACACTTTGGCCTGTGCCCAGTGTGCCCATTCAGTAATCCATCCATTGCTTGGTAAGTGCAGTCGGACCAAAAAACGGAAAGTTCACTCTACTGATGTTCCTCATAAGCACTCTTGGTTGAGACATTCTCCGAAGACGGGCTCTGGGATTTTGTTTGCATCGCACTTCTCTGGTTCAACAGTCTTCCCCGTGTAGTCTATGCAGAAGACGCTGCGGCGGCGCTCCCCCTGGCCACAAGTTCGCGAGCAGACAGACCAAGGTCCCATCTGCCACATGGGGCACGGCAGATCCCCGCAGGGCCTGATGTCCACGGGCTTCAGGTCTTTGTCGCACTGGCTGGACAGGAAGCCCGCGCTGTCACGGCATTCAACATTCCTCCTGGACCACCCGGAGCCACAGCTCTTGGAGCACTCAGACCACTCCCCCAGCAGCCAGTCGGGCACACCGAACGGATGGATCATATGCAAGGACAGCGACGAGCCCTTCCTCTCCTTGGATTTGTTGAAGGTCACATCTCTGGGGATGAAGAAAGTATATTTGACCTTGGGATGGTTGGCGTCCCCGGCAGTGGCGAGGAGTTGGATGGTGATGACCTCCCTCAGCTGCCTGAAGCTCTGGATCCTCTCCAGCGTGGTGGAGGATCCGCTGTACTTTAGCACGGCACCCAGCACGGGAATGTCCTGCTCCACCGTGGACACGGAGAAGTTACCGTTGAGGATGTAACCGCCGCTCTGCCTCTTTATGGCCAGGTAGTTCCCGTCATGTTTGATTCCCCTGTGGCTCCGCTGTTTGATGTCAATGTTAGTAGCGCCAACAGGGATCGTGACAATGTCGCTGTATCCATAACTGGTAGAGAAAAGAAACAAAGAACTGGATTTAAATAATTTTCACACTTTGTTTCCTTACTTTAAAGATACAGTTCAACAACATGGGTGATATTTGCTTTTTCTAGGGAGCATAGCTTTCTGAAATGCTCAAAAACAAGCCTAATAATACCTGTAAAGCTCACTAGCTCATGCAAAAGTTTGAAATGTCGGATAAAAGCACTAACAGACAGAGCCGGGCTAGCTAAGGAAGCTAACGGGCTGCTGACTGTAGGCTTACATTTAACGAGGATGACTCTATTGAACCCCACAAGCTGAAACTCGTTGGTCTAACAATGAAGTCTTTAAGGAAACTACAAGTGTTGCTGGAGTTTTACCTCTTCTGACTTTTTCTCTTCTCCATGCACTTAGGAAATAGATGTACCGGCTTATATTAAACAGACAGCCATGACATTGGTAGGAATCTTGTCATCTGACTCAGGTCCATACAATTTATTAATAAAACTGAGATGTTAAGTGGAAGGTGGTGTAACAAAATATTGATATTATGTTTTTGTAATACTGTATCGACTCTCAAAAAACACTGCATCAATTTTATATTAAGAGTTTACATGCAAAGATTGGTGGCAGACAGCGGCTCAGATTGCACAAAAATAGTGCTATGTGTTGTTAAAGGGATTGTGATGAATGCAGATTCATGCATATGGTGGTGCGTTCTTTATAATATGACAGTTTTCCGAATATTAGATTTTCTTTAAATCACAATATCTCGCAATATAATGAACCTCTGCATCATCATAGCTACTATCAGTGGTGGCTGGTCAATAGAGGGCGCTAGGGCGCCGCCCCACCTTGAGCCACAACAAATACAAATTTGTCATTTCCTCGATTCCGGTTGAACCGGAAGTTGGAAATGACAAATAAGGGACATGAAGCACCTGAGAAATGGATATATAGTTATAAATAAATAATTATATATATATGTGTGTGTGTGTTTTATATTATAGTGAATATTATTGTATGATATACATTATTATATTATACAGAATATTATTATATGATATATATATATATTATTATATTATACTGAGACTAAAATAAGATGTCCTGACGTGTTTATCAAAGTGTTATTTTCTGCTTTTTTTCATGTTGGAATAAATGTTAAATATTTCACTGTAAAGTAGTAATACGTGTTTGATACCTTCATGTTTTTGCATTGAATCATTCTGGGATGTGGCACAGCCCTACCTCAAACATATTCCACCAGCTCCACTGGCTACTATATATACTATATGCTAAGCTAGGCTAATCGCCTCTTGGCTCCAGCTACGTACTACGCACAGAAATGATATTGGTAAAGCAAACATTTTATTTTGGGATGTTTATCATGTACTCATCATGTTTTTTAATGCTGTGTTGTTTTTATCATATCTTACTATCAATAGAGAAACATATTTGTCCCATAAGCCTCAGGTTGTTGGCAGTGAAAGGACTTTAGTTTTTTCTTCCTGGAAACTTTTTAGATGAAATTATTAACAAAAGACACAACATATGAAGTACATGTGAAGCGGCTGTCATGACATCATAATACAACAGTATTGAGGCGTTTTATCGTCACTAAGATCAAACAGGGAAACTGAAAATACACGGATTGAATGGAACCTCTGCTCATGGATTTCTAAGTCATATATAAAACAGAATTACAGTATCGTGTTGGATTTTCCGATGTTTTTTTGGGCCGTTGAAAGTAACTGCTCTCATTGCTGCAGAACCTTCCCATCAAGATAAGCAAGAGGGAAGCAAGGCTTTTCCACGCTGCAGCCTCTCATCAGGTTAGAGAACGTTTCAAAGAGGCTCAAATATGCATTTACAGCTGATTTAATTTGTGCTTCCAGATGGTGACGATAGTAGCTGCTCAGTACAATAGTGCTCAGTAGCAGCATGGTTAGCAGAACCAGCCTCTACAGTGGTTTTGTGACTCTGCTACTGCAGTGCAAGAGGTATTTGTTTCAACTTACGTTGCTTTGTTGTACGAGCCGGTGATCTTTCTACAGGTGAGCTCACTTCCTCCACACACTCCACACTTATCCACCCTCTTGTTGGATCCAATCACCTGGTCGCAGCCGGCCTTCACACACTGGCCTTGGACACACACCGATGTGGTGTCGGGGCCGCAGGTCGTCCCGTCGATCACCTGCAGGGACACAACAAGCAGGTGATGTTGAGTCCTTTTATCACAAGTGTTAAGCAACAGTCAGAGTCACCTGCATGTTGTAGAGTTCTCCAATGGTGTTAAGATGCAGGGACAACGCCTTTTGACGAAGGAAAGGAAAAGCTTATTAGCTTTGAGAGGTCTCCAAAGAAGATGAGTGGACCTTGAGTTAAGATTTATATTGAAGTGATAAAAGAGTAAAAAGTGTCTTTACAAATACATATTTGACTTTTACTCCAGTCACTCTCCATGATAACGTTAATTCAGAAAACTGTCAGATTTTCCATGCGTCTAGTTCGATTATTCATCATTGTCATGCAATACAGATAAACATTGATATTCAATGATTACGTGCTTTATTATTCTGTAAATTGCGGAGAGAAGCCCCTAACCTGTGATTCCAATTCTGCTATAGATTATTATTCATTTCAGCCGTTATGAGCTGTGAGTGCTTCAGTAATCTGTACCTTGGATTCAAACACCTTGAATTCGCTGCTGCCTCTGGCCCTGCAGAACAGCTTACATCTGTCTCTGGGAGAAACACCGGCGTACTTTGGGATCCACTGTTTCATGTTCCCGCTGAAGTCCAGGTAGCTGGGGCTGTTGTACTTCTCACACTGCTCCTCTCTGAAGCTCTTTCCTGGGGTAAAGATTGAGGAAAGGTTAGTATACAAAGGTCGACAATCACAAGATGAAGCTGCGCTACCAAAATATAATTATTTTAAAGTAGTCCTACAGTCAAATACGTTGAATATGTATATTCAAATAATAATATTAGCAGTGATGTAGATTATACGGTTTGATAGATTACCTGCTGTGTACTGCATCAAGAGACTAATCATCAATTAGTCCATTAATTCATTTAAATGAATTGATTTGTCAATTGACAGATCAATCATCAGCAGCTACTCTGATAACATTTCCTCGTCTAAGTCATTTTCAAAGTAAAACCACCAAACATTACCTCAGAGTGGCGCCTCTAATGTTATTGATTCTATATTTGTCATAATACAATTTGATAACATTTTGATTCAGAGGGTTTATTTTGTTACATGTTCATACAACATGTGCAGCAAAATGAAGGGTGGTGAGCTATGGAAGCCCAGTGCTGTCAAAATGACAGATCCTGTAGGTCTGATGAAGTCAATGAGAAACTTTCACAAATTCTCAAAGTCTTTATTATTCTATAAGTAAGTCCTCATTTTGAGAAGGTTTCTCTGTATTTTCAGATACTTAGACATTAGATTGGGATATTAAGACATTGTTTTGAGATATTAAGTGATTGTTTTGAAGCCTAGAGTTCGGCTTCGCTATCTGGGATTACAGCTGTTGCCACTCGGCTTCACTCGGCACACCCGGAGGTTGCCGCCTGGTGAATCCTCACCGTCGTTGTCGTCACAGGGCTGCGTGTTGCAGGACTGGTACTGGACCCTCTGTCCCTCGCAGTACCTCCCTCCGTTCAGAGGCACCGGGTCAGTGCACTCCCTGTATGAGAACTCCACCCCGCCTCCACATGTTCTGGAGCACCGCTGCCACGGCCCCCACGAGCTCCAGCCGCCGTCCACAGCCACCTGCCATACAAAAAAAAAACACACAGAGAGGGAAAAGAGGAGTAGTTGGTTAGCACTCAGTGCCAAAGGCAATCTCAGCTGTGCAGCTTAAAACCACAGTCTGGGCTTCTGGGTTTGAGGCGGAGGCCGCACAGTGTGTTGGCGTGACGCGACTCCGGGGCTAAATCTGTGTTGAAGTTCGGCACGTGCCCGCTGTCTGCCTCTACCCAACATTCCTGCCACATGTGTCACTCACCACTACTGGAACCTGCCATGCTGCAGCTTTGTGAGGCACAATTCAACGTGTGTGTGCGCGCGCGCGTGTGTGTGTGTGTGTGTTTGCTGGCGTGAGCGTCCTTTCCAGAAGTTTTATGAGTTTGGACCAGCTAACATCCCAACTGCCAGCACGTCTGGGTTCATAAACAGATGTGTGATCATAACACGAGGAGAAGATATCAAGGCAGGCGAGCTAAGATGAAACTAAATGTTCTTTAAGGAAATATAAACAGGCATCGTGAAGCAACTGGGTTAGTGCTGTAATCCATATACTACTACTACAGAAGCCTCAACCTCTCATTCATGTATTCCTACTTAAAACCGCTCACAGCTGCAAAGCTGAAAGAACCTCCGCTAACTGAGACGCTGTATTTACTCTCAAGAGTTTGTCTTTGTGACTTCCCTGTTTTTTCCTCACACAGCAGATTCACAATGGAAGTTTTTTGTCTTTGTTTGTGGTTAAAACCGGATCAAACTGTTTCTGCAGCTTTCAATTGTGTCACACAATCTGCAACTGGGGTTTGCCCACAACTTTAGATATTCAAATATTCCATTTTTCAAAGGAAGCGACTCGTCGAAACCAGTTGTCAGCAGCCAGCAAGTGCAAGCAAATAAACACCGTCAGCAAAAAACATGCAAGGAGAAGCAAATTAGAAAAAGTTAACTGGCGGTCATATTAAATGCTTTCAATACTTGTGCAGCTTTAATTTTGTCTTGTGTTTAAATCTTTGGTCTTACGTCTACATTCTTTAGAACTAAAACAAGTATAATACCACAGTATGGCCTCATAAGCTTGGTATGAATAATGCATAAGCAAAAATCCAGCAGTTAAGGTGCCGTGCCATTTCGGACAGCCCATCATTCCAAAACCCCAAAACAAAAGCCTATTTGTCCTAACAGACCTCCTCAAGTCTTAATATATTCTTTTCTCTGCTATGGCTAAGGCATGACCTGCCGAACATGACCTGCCGCACTTCTCGTGACATCTGAGCAATGGCTAGTCCCTCAGATGGAGAGCAACATGAGCCTTATTTTGGAGTCTTGTTTATGGTCACCAGATGAACATAAGTCCAAAATGCCGCCTGGGTCGGACCTACTAAAGCTGTAGCAGCAAAGAGTGTTTCATTGTCAACGAATTCAACTTTCCAGAATAAAGAAGCGTCCTCACCAGTGGCTGCATCACCTCCTGGGTCGGCATGCACGCCCCGTGGAGGCAGGTCCCGTTGCGGCTGCAGGGGGTGCCGTCGGCCCAGGGCAAGCTGCCGTTCTTGGTGGAGCACTGCAGCGTCCCGTCCTCCTGACACCACAGCTGGCTACAGACATCACTGTCTGAGGAGTTGGGGCATTGGACGAACTCCTCTCCAAACATCTGCTGGCACTGCTGGTCCAGGCTGTACTTGGTGCCTGGCAGCTCTCTCGGTAACGGCATGGTGCTCTCTGGGATGTCCAGCAGGCAGTCCCCTGTGGTAACAATACAAAGCATCTGTGTGAGACTGATTATATTGTGCTTTGTGGGGATCGTGGACTTTGCGGCACTGTGACAGTTGCAAATGTGTTTGTGTGAGGCATGACAACAGCGGGAAAATATTCAGAGCAAGTTGTGTCCTGACTATAAAAATGAATACTTTAAATCTAACTAATGGAGTGCACTTTTATAGGCAATATAATGTTCTGAGTCTCGACACTATTCCATGAGAATGAAGTATCTTCCCCTAATGATTCTTCATTGCATTCAATACGCTTTTTTTTTGGAGTCGTCAACGACGTCTGCAGTTCGGAATGCAACACAGTTTTTTTCAAACTGATAAAGAACATATTTTGCTGACACCAGCTGTTGTTTTTGGCTGAGGAGGTGAAGAACAGGAAGAAATCCATTGCATGACTCAATGGAAAAGAAGGTTGACCGGTAGGTCTAGCAAGGATACAAACAATACAAGAGGCACGACATGAGACGAGGGAGAGGGAGGAACAAACAGAGAGGCGGGGAGTAAGGAAAAAGAGAACATTTAGGGCAGGATAAACTATCTCTACAGCCCATCATTTGAATGGAGCGACATGTTTAAGCAGGAAAGCAGCGCGAGAGGAATGACAGTGTGTTCTATTCATCTGTGAATCAGCCATAATGACAGAGCCACGGTGTACTGGCAGATGTCCACGTTGGCAGAAAGTCTCTCCGGAGTGCTGCTTACTTTCCGATTTACTTAACACGCCGGGGGCGACAACCTGAAGTGTTTCCTACCGTGTCCATTGTCAAAGAACTCCGTGATGTACAGAGCGCTGCAGGGAGACCAAGGCGCCGTCTTGTTGAGGCTGACAAACAGAGGAGCCATCAGGTGATGTCCTCCCAGATCTCCAAACAGCCTCTCACAGGTCTTGGAGTCGTCGTGAGGCATGCTTAACACATGACCTGCAGTGGGAAAAGGATGCAATGATGGTGAAACACATGCTCACAGATGCACAGATAACTCACTACAGCCCACCCGTATGGCAAATAAAACCTAGGCTAACCGAGCTCGTGTGCAGCTGTGAAGGCGGCCTGCAGGCCGTTGTCCTCGATAACCGAGCAGCTTCTCTTGGGGTCGCACATCGTCCCGACATCGGCAACGCCCAGCGTGTCGCAGCTCTTCTGTCCGCAGATGTCCTGCAACACAAACAAACACACTGAGACCGGGACACCGAGGTCAGGACCACAATGTGGGATTTGAGACAGCTGATACAAACCAAAGTATACAAAGGCAGGTGTTCAAAATCATCATTCTGACCATTTTCATGCACCAAATTTCCTTAGTATCTTTTATCAAGTTTAACAAGCATCTAATACAGAGCGACACAATGTTCAAAACGGGGTGGTTTGTATGACACTCATTTTTACTGCCAATCTGATGGACACGAGAGAGAATGCAGCTTTAACACACGAAGCATCGACTTAAACCAGAGATGGCTGCAGACACACACACACACACACACACACTAGCATACAGCAACATCAAATCCACTCAACAAACATGAACTTGCTCTCTTATTACCTTAAGAATGTTTGTTTATTGGCATGTTTTCACTGCTCTTGTCGTCCTCCTGCTGTTCTGTATGTCTTTTGTCTTTTGTCTTGCAATAAAAAGGAAACTGCACTGAAACCAAGAAGCATACTTGAATCTATCCATCTTTCTCATTCAGCTCAGCTCAGCTTCGGGTCTTGTCACGGTCAATCAGTGTCGTGTTGAGCAACATTGGCTCGATACCTTGTTCTAAACCCGGTTGAGGTCGTTTTCCCTCAAAAAGTTGTGACCGTTTGCTTAGAAACAGCTGGCAGAGTGGACTATGGTAAAAACATTACTCTGTCAAATGGTGGATATATTAAGTGTATGGGCAGCGCTGAGTGAATGTTTTATCAATCATCCACAGTCATCCTTCACTGTCTATTTGTGTCCAGTTGTTTTCATGTTGCTCAGTGTTTCCGTCATAAAACAGAACAAATAAATATCCTCAGCATGCAGCTGTCCACAACTGTGACTTTGGAAAATGAACAGCGTTGTGTATCAGAAGTCTTTCCCCGGCTCCAGAAGACTGGCTGTGTAGGACGGAGACGGACGGGTCCGTGGCCTCGCCTCAGAACCCCCTCCCAAAGAAGAAACCACTGGGCTGAACCCGCCGTGATTCAAAACACATCTGGACTCGGAGGCTGCCAATTGAACGCAGCTCAGCGTGTGTTTGTACACCTCTTTCCACAATTGCATCCATCACTCATGTCTGCTGACACAAAGTAAGATGGGTCAAAGCATTTGCAGGTAGTGCGGACAGACGGACAGAGACACGCATACAGTACGAGACCACAGACATGTTCCCACTACATGCAACAGAGTTTTCAGCTGCACAGCAGCCAGTAGTGGACTGTGGGAACCAGAGCACTCATCTCTAAACCCAGACTCGGCCGCGATAATAGAAACGTGATAATAGAGAAGTCTTGTGTACTGTCTGCTCACGCCTTGTCCACATGCACACAGCAGATGGAAGAAAGCAGAACAAGCCAATCACAAGTCAAACCCTGAGGACTTGTGGACCTGTTTCCTGTCGGAGGATCCATAAAGTACAGTTTGTTTGCTTTCTGTTGACATTCCCTCTGCATGGAAAAGATTACAAGTCCTCCATCTCGAACATTCCCCTTTCAGCATCCTCACTTTACCCAAAGGGCTAGAAAGGCTTTCCTTTACCTCTGATCCCACACATGTGTGTTTCTGGGTTGCAAAAACTGCAAGATATGAAAACAGTCCCTAAAGGAAGGGGCTCTTTCTTCATCTGGGACCCCACAACCGGCCCCACAATGCACCTGTGTTACTGTAAGACTCTGCGGTTGAGCCTGCTGCTCAGAAACCGCATTATGTACTACAGCTGGCCACGGACTGAATTCCTTCACGGGCTTCATTTGTGACTCATCCTTGCTGAGTTATTGCCTTCTGAATGCAGAAAATATCCCAGACAACCACGAGTGAATAATACCAACACAGTCTCACCGCAGTGTGTGAGATAGTCACGAAATGTAATCTATTGGTTCCTGTACAGGGACACAAATTGTTTCTCGGGATGACATTACGTGAAAACAAAAGTTAATCAAGTGGACCTTGAGTTAAGATGTTTTCTTTTTTTGTCAAACTAATGGCTCCAGGGTGAAGAATTCACTTTTCAAAAGTTCTGGACTATATCTCTCGCTCATCAAACATTAGAAGATGATGTGTAGATGATGGTGTGTTGCCCTCACCTCTCTGGTGAAGAGCATGGCCGTGTCGTAGTGCTCTGGATTCCTCTGGCTCGGTGGGTTGAAGAACTGCTGCCAGGAGCAGAAGTTCCTCAGAGCCACACCTCCGTTGCTGGAGACCTGCGGGCCGACCTCCTCGTCCTCCACCACCAACATCTTCACCACCACCATGTTCACCGAGTTCTTTATGCTGGGGTGCTTGTAAAGCTGGGCAGCCATCGACATCAGGGTCAGAACATATTGCTGTGGGGGGGGGGGGGGGGACATTTAAAAAGTTCAAACATTCATGAACGTGAACTTTTTTGCTCATGACGCGGTTCAAACCAAATGGGTGACGGGTGACGCAGCGCAAGTACCAATTTTGCTGTGAAAGTTGTTTCTGCCTGATTACTAAACCGATATCAGATGTTTGTAGCTGATAATGTTGTTTGACACAAAACCTGACTTTTTGTACGATTTATGGACCTCGATCATGTTTACGTTATCTACTTATCGTACGATGGACGTAACTTTGACCATTTTAAAGTCTAGTTAATGTACAACATATTGACAGGACCAGTGATTATTAAGTTATTGACTAATCCTAATCTTATGATGGAAATGACCTCAATCATTTCTTCATCATCGTTATCGTACGATATATTGACCTCGATCATTTTACGTTATCGAGTTATCTAGATCCCTTATTTTGCCTGTTGTGTTTACAAGTTGCATGTTTTTTTGTGTTTGCACAGACGTTGTACATTTTCATTAATAGAGCCCGACAGGTCTGAAAATGACAATAATATCGTTTATGGCAATTATTTCTGAGACAATTTATCGTCCAACAAATGTAGTTATCGTGACAGGTTGTGACCAATACTATGGTGGACACGGTATATATCTAAGCTGTTGCAAGCATATCTATTGCTCTATTAGTACTGCAATCTTTGTTACTTATGGACGACACCGAATATCTGCTATAAGCCAAAGTTTGCTGGGAGACCTCTTCAACGTCACCAAACACAATCTTTATGAAATTAGTTTTCACATATATGACTGTCATATATCTAAAATGATTTAGATATTTATATATATATATATATAACAAGAAAATGTCATAATAATTGTACTGTACTACTAATTTGACACCACCTGTATTCCTCCTGTATACAATATACAGCATTTCACTGTTTATGAACTTTAAACTGCAAAAATGTATTTACATCTTAAGTTTGAAAGCATTAGCTGTAAAGAGCTGCTTCCATAGTTTCTGTTCGCTGTCCTGTTGTGTCATAGGAGGCGGGGTTTTCCACAGCGCTGTCATGGTTGTGTGTGTTTCAGTGGAGATCTGGTAAATCACAATGAATGTTGTGGGGGAAAGTGTCTTCCAGCAGGCTTGCTGAACTCACTCTTTCTAGGGTGGGATGATTTTCCCATAAAAACGTTTTTCCACATGAGCCACACGTGTTTTTGTCGTATTTTCCTGCGACCTTTAACTCGCTGAAGCTGCCGCTGCTCATAGACACCCAGGGTGATGATACTTGAAATAAGTCTAATCTAATTTGTGATAAAAATGGGATGCAAACCTAATTCATCTTTCTGGCCTTTACAGACTCACTTGACTGTGAGGAGGCGGAGTGTCTGGCAGCGGAGCAGCTTATTAAGTACAAACAGACGAGAATCTGGCTGCTACTGCTGCACCATGGATCCAACTCTTGTTTAAAAGGCTGACTGAGTTTAGGAATGGAGCATGGTTTTTTCATCGTGTCACCATCCATCATATTTTGCTGAACTGAAGTCATGGCTGTTATGATGAACAGCAGGAAATGCTCCATTAATTGAATCACAGTGAAGAGTAAATACAGAACAGAGCAGCTATTGAAGGCCTTGTGGGTCTTCTCTGCATGATGCTGTGGCTCAGCTGCCAAATCGTGACCAAGTGCGAAGGAATGCGTTTCAGCATTGCTTGCATTTCTGTTGCCTGACTTCTTACTCAGCCTGTGAAAAACAGGGAGCCCACCGACTTCCTCCCGAAGCCGCCTCTCTGCCAAAACGTGTTTTATGAAGCAGCACAAAGAAAACAAACCCCTGTCGCTATATGTGTGAAGGAGAAGAGAATCCTGCAAGCAGGATGGGAAATAAAGGGGGAAAGATGACGTTCTCGACGTTTGTTTATGGGACAGTCTGCGAATCTAAGGTTTGTTTAGGTTCCTATCAACAGTGTGTGCGGGAAAGAATGAGTTCATCGTGTCTGACCTTTATTTCATCTCCATAGAAGTGGGTCATGGTTGAATCCGTCACCACCATTGTCTCTATGAACCGAGGCGCGGAAACAAAGCGTCTCCGGCGAGGTTCCCTCCGTGCGTCACCGTCACCGTGCGTAAAAGTTTCCCCATTTTGCTTCGCCTCCGCCGCCGCCGTCGCCGGGTAATCAAACAGGAGGGGAACACCGTGACTTTTGGTGTATGTCCTCCTCTTGATGACATGCAGCTGCTCTGCAGAGTCTGGCCCCAGGCCCCCGCGAAGTTTGGGCTCAATGAAATACTCTTTCCCCTCCGTTATGAAGGAACCGAAGATGCCGGAGCACAAACTGACAGCCACGACCGAGCTCTGGTCGTGATCCACGATCCCTGAGTAGAAGCAACCCCTCAGCTGTCCTCCGCTCTCCTCCGTCTGGAGATCCGCGACGGGACGGGCACCTGAGACGCTGCGTAAAGCACCAACGTCTCTGGCTCTGACGCGCTGTACGGTGAAGGACGGCGCGAGGAAGCCGTTGTCTGGGATAAGATTCAGGGTCAAGTCCTTGCCAAATGCGCTGAGGGTAAATCTTGGCTGTTCCTCGCTTCTTTTCCAAAAGCGGCCGCTGATTCTCGCGTTTATCCGAACAGGTACAACATCCTCAGACTCAAACGGGGTGGAAAGCGCCGCGCTCATTACGCACAGGAGTGAGAAGGTGAAACACACAGTGGAACGCATCTTCTGCAATGAAAAGGTTTTTTTATTACAATGTAGGCCTATGTCCCGAATACGAATCTCCTTAAATCAGAGATCTCTACAAATTACGCGTTGTTTCCCCCCCCAGCCAGTCAACGTGTGTCTGGTATTTAATTTCAGTCCGTCTGAGTTGTCGTTTCTAATTCCTTAACCAAGCTAAGCCCTTGTTGTACCTCTCACCAGCACCGCCGCGGTCTGGACACATCGGGGGTATTTATACTTTCTGCTCTTCTCTGGACATGAGGGGGTTTATTTTTGATATCCTCCGCTGCTGGAAATTCTCCTCCCACTCGCACTTCATGAGAACTCGCGGATAAAACGGATCCAATGAGAATGGGCCGACACTCCCCCCTTCTGAAATAGCTCGACAACCGCGCTCCTATTATTAACCCGGCGTGCTTTAAGGCGGCGTGCGGGACATCTACACTACGCATAGCTGGAAGTCCGCTCCTCGGGTTATTTCGGAGCCGTGTGTGAGTGAGTGGCAGGCCCCCACGGAGCCCGGAGCCCCCCC